ATAAAGTCTCTTTCTCTTAGATTATGTATCAATATGGTAGTTATTGCGCATCACAAACCTTTATTGTAGAAGTCTAAAATTCGTGGTCGCCAAATGTGGTGTATCACCAAACTCTATAAATTATGTATGCATACACATATAAACTCTGGTCTGTCTACTTTAACAAATATTTATTCAGAGACAAAACAACAACAACATACAAATAATGACACACAATCTAACTAACTACACCACCAACAACAGCAACAACAACCTAACTAACAATAACAACTACATCTTATAAAATCCCACTCACAGTTCACCATGATAGAAATTAGGCCATGTCTGCTTAAGGGACTGCTCAGTAGCACAGCCAAGAAGGAACAGGGAGGAATGGAGAAAGGGGGAAGTGGTTACCTCTTTCCTGACTTGTAAAGGTATTGAATTACTCAATTACCATATCAAAAGGTAAAGCTTATCCCACTGTACATGAGCTTGGTCACGTAATCCCTGGTCACCATATTAGTTTGATGACAGAATGTCACCACACTTGCATTAGCCACTTTTGGTATGTGCTAACCCCTGCATGCAAAGAACACCCCACAAGACTTGTCATTTTGAAAATGCTCCGACACAGCTGGAAAGCAATCACTCTTTGGCATGCTTACTAAATTTCACCCATGAAGCCAGGAGAATGCTTGTCTTCATTGGCCTGTACACATGACATCATAGGAGCCAATTTTAATGTCTTATGCCACAATGTGCCTTAAGAGCCTGGCATATTTTATACATGTAAACATTCTATATTATTTATAGCTAATTTTACCTATTGGATTGATTAAATTGATGAAGATATTTTTGATGCTGCAGAGGCAATTATCCTTGATATATATATATATATAAATATATATATATATATATATAGATGTGACAAGGAAGAAAATAATCACTATTATTTCAAAAGGAATCTTGTATCTGCGGTAGAAATTGTGTTGCAAATAGATCAGTGCAACTGGGAAGCTTACATAAAAAAATTGATGCAATTTGTAGAATAGGCATATGATTAAGATGATTATATCATTCTAACTTTATCACACTTATAATCAATCAGAAAGCAGAGGCACTGTAACCTAAGCCTCCGTATATATAAATAATTTCAACATCAGAATACTAAAAGCTAATTAAGATGCTTAATTGCCAGATGCATGTATGCATGGTATCTAATTATAATAATAATACTACATATGATACAATTAATCTGACACATAACTGACTCTTCTTAAAGTAAAAAATAAATGTATATATAGTAATATGTTTTAATCAGATTCTTACCACACCATATAGTTTGCAAATCATAATTAATCCTTCATACATTAACTCTTTGAAGTGTTAGATTGCCAAGTCTTTGACATTCAATATTTTTGCTATTGTACAATTGACAGAATCATTTGCAAAACATATAGTTCTTATTATCTATGAATTTATACTCCTTTTACGGGGTAAGAGCTGTATGTCATTAATTAACTTAACATTTGCAATAGAACTTTCGAAATTAATTTACTGCATATGAAGTCAAACAGATTTACTGAGCAAAACCTAGGGTATGTAAAGCTATGACACCTTGAGTAAAAATTACTCCATCCATTTGCTATTTCAGAAAAGTCATCAAGCATACGTTACATTTTGAAACTTACTTGATCAAGAAAAAAATTATGATCTCTTTATAAAAGCCCTTTTGTGCCAAGATGTGCTCATTGTTGAAGTTTGCATACCCATTTTAAACAGTCTTCTTTAGAAATAACATTTGATTTGACACATTTCAGCATTCCTTTTGAACAATGATTGTGCAGCATCATTAACAACATTGATGCCAAATCTTGATTTCTTAAACTCTTGCAACCTGCAACATGATGTACATGGGATATATAGTAACTCCTTGAAAATCTATTTCGCCAATCTCACAGACCTTTATTTATTATTAAAAGGTGTCAAGTTAGGTAACTCTTTCCTGAAAAAGGTTTTAAATCTCCTGAGCTTTAGCTGTCTTTTCAGAAGGAGTTATAGAATGGCACATTCACTGATTCCATGTCTTCTATCCTCCAGTCTCGCTGTCAGTGTTCGGCAGCTATCAGAAGACTGGCACCTATTAGTGTATAATCTTACTCAAACATAGATCCAAAACAGCCACCAGAAAATCATACTCAGGGTTTTATCTGAAGACTAAAATGGGGGAGGAAGGATAGAGGAGCCCATGTATATTTATAGGCAACCTGTATTTCTTGCTATGCTCTGCGTTGATGGCATTGAATTTCAATTGAAATCATTGTGTGAAATTTGCAGATGGAGTTATATGTGCTTCTCCTCAAATGCAGCAGAACTGATAAGTGAATGTTATATGTATATGAAGAATAATAATGATGAAATAATAATGATGGAGAAAAAACAAACAAGCAAACAAACAAGAGGATGCGTGGAAACTGAAAAAATAAGGAAATCAAAATTAATAAAAAGTACAAAAGTAAAAGAAGACAATAAATTATTCAAAAATAGACAAAGCAATAATTAACATATAAACCACTAAAATATAGAGTCCCTCCTGTTATGGGCAAATGCAAATATTACAAGTTTTAGAATTAAATATTGTATTTCTTAAACTGTGTACTTTGTCTTTAAGAGATATTGCAAACTGACAAGGTGTTAGAAATGAAACATATTGTTTTTCATAACTGTTTCTTTAAGCAATAACCTCAGTGCATAATATGTTTGCACCATTTTGTCCCAGACGAATTACAATAACAAAAATGCATAAACAAGTTTCAAGGCTATCCTACGACTCTTTCAGTACATAATATACTGTAGTAACCTTAGTAGATAAGGATGTCCAGACTTTAAGATACCATCTTGAACTAAGTCAGGAAAATTTCCATGACGTATGCACCTTTTAGTAATAACTTTGTATGTTTGCCAAATTAAGGGAGGTCCTAAAATGATTAAAGTTAAAGAAGTGTTACTTTTTCATATATGAACTATGGTAACTCTAAAATGGAGACACCTAAGGTATTAATAGGTGTACTTTTAAATGTTAAGAAACAGAAGAGAGACTTGGAGACAGACGCTGCTCCATCTTAAAATGACATAGAGGCTGACATGATGACATGTTCAGAAGGGTATGTTAACCTATTAATGATATTTGCAAGCATTTAATTTAATCTTATAAACTCTGCCATAATGGATTTTATATGTCTATATTTATATTTTTATATAATAAATATCTAAAAGACAAAACTATTGCTTCCAAGACAATCCTTATTTTATATTGTATTCTCAATTATTTATATATGTTAAATAGAGGATCTCTTACACTAACTATTTAAAATTACTGCTTAAGATATCTGTATGGTTAGCCCTACTAAGGTCTATGCTTTAAGACATTATAGTGGTAAATAAGGGAACCAGACGTGGTTACAATTGGCGACCATGAAGGGACATTGTACTTGGAAGCTTTAACTATAAAATAATAAATACCTAAGTAACCTCTTATACATAAGAGAAGACACAATACTTTGTCATGGCACAAGTCTTGAAATATCAAGAATCTAATGAGCTATTTGTAGCCCAGACTCAGAGAGAGATCTTCATCATGGAGAGATGATTTTAATGTGACCTTGTACAAAGCACTTTAAGTTCAGGTGCCAGGTACATTGTAATTAGCATACAATGCTGAAATTTTGTGGATCTTAAGTAATATATCATAACAGAGCAAATATACATATTTGGTAAACTCCCTGATATACCTAATACACCAGCACAGCATGGCCCATTAGTTCCAAGACAGTGGATTGCAGGCAGGGGGATGTTTTCTCTTTGTAGCTGCTTAGTATGCATACGCAGGAAAAAGATTAATGCAAAATGTTGTCAAAAGAAAAGTGATAAGACAGAGCGATGAAATTTGAAGTCTAATTCCAAGAATGCAAAGAAAATTGCATTATGGCTTAATGAAAACATTCATGCCACATAAGGAACAGACAGGCAGGATTTTAACATCCACTATATAAGAATAAAAGTTTTATAAAACAGTGATAATTTCCATACTGTCAGTTACGCTAGCTGTTGATTGAAAATCAGGAATTATAAGAGCATAACTATTTTTGGAGTCTGGAGTTTCCAGCCAAGGTTGCGGAGATAGAGACATGTAAACATTGCTTCCATTCCAAAGAATTGAGAAGTCCAAATTATGAACAACATTATTACATACAGCCATAAAGAGAAAGACATGGCTTTTAAATACATTCAGTGTAGTACAATGCAGTACACTGCAGCATATATTTTATATAATATATGCTAACTACCTTTTTTTTTCCTAAACAGAGTTGATTTTATACTACCCTCCTAGAAAACAGGGCAACACCCTTTGCTTCTCTAAATGCTCTGCAAAAATAAATATTTATAAAATTATTAAAAATAATATATATGTAAGATACATCACGGCAAAATAAAATTGTAAATATACAGGATCTCTGATAACTTTTAAACTGAAATTATTAAAGGCTTATTTAAATAAAATGTTAAATACATTTACAGCTTTAAATGTGACCAAAAGATACTAAATGATGTGTTAAGCAGACAGCCCAATTCACTAGAATAGCATACGTATTCTACTATTTAAAGTGCACAATTCCTGCACATAATGACTTTGCTTACTCAGGTACAGTCTTTAGTTTATTGCAATGGCAGGATTAAAGTCCACCAATTTTAAAA